TACAAAAAATTCGCGTTCAAAGTAGGTAATATTAATACGATAAAGGATAATTAATAAAATTATGGTCCCGTATAATATGTTCGTTCATTTAAAACAATTTCACGAACTTCAAAGCTGAGCTGAATACTTAAAACTGTTGGTGATAATTCGTTTATTGTCAATTATGTATTTTGCATTAAATTAATTACAAAGTACATTGACAGTCGGAAAGGGATAAAACCCGTGGAGAATGCAAATTTTCCGGTCAAGTAAGAATCATATTCGTTGCAATGAAATGTTAGGTTTATATAAAAAAAACACTAAGTTATTTGTACATCTCAATATTTGTAACAAAAAAATAAGATTAGAATATTATCCTGCTCGTTTGATTCGTTTAAATTATTATTCCCTGATCCAGGATCAAAATACTAAATAGACTGGGTAGTTACCTCCGCAGATATTTCCAATTTGGTACGGATTTTATTAAAAAGGGCCCTTTTGGCTTCTCACAAAGAAAACATGACGTAAACTATTACGATTCCTGGTATTAGGAGCTTCACAATTTGGTCTAATATTATTTATTCTGCAAATTATAATTCAGCTAGGTATATTAAGGTTTTCTTAATGTTACGCTCTCGGATCCCTAAAAGCCTTGAGTCAAGTCGTTCAAATATACCTAAATAAAATATGTAATATGAAATATATAATATACCCCAGAGTTTTGTGGGTAACAGAGTACCGAGGATATGGTACATCAATAATTCACCTATGTTTTATGCGTTTCCCAAATAAAATGTATAATTTACTCTATGCATGTGTGAAACTTGACGGTTTGTTTGTTTGTGTTGGAGAATTATTAATTGAATTCATATATAGTTTTGAAATATAAGTTAATGGATACAGGTGGACAATAGTTATTTCTCTCCTGTAGGATGTGGGCAGAGAACTATAAGTATAAATATTCAGGTATCGTATTAGTCGAAAAACAGAGATACCTAAGTATTTTTTAAAGAATGTAGCGTTTTAATATATCATCCGTGAAAATGCTTTCATGAACATATCTCGTTACCGGTACTGTGAAGTTGAACAAAAGATTTGTATCGTGAAAAACATGTAGCCGCAGGCGTCCAGAATGAAAATCAAAAAGTTTTCATAAAAAAGCCTTACTATCGAAAAAGCGACAAAAACTGAAACAGCGACCTTCATTTTCCAGAAAGCTCGTGTTCTCTATGAGGCGGCTACCTACATTGAAAGTTTTGTAATTCTGGTGGGGTTGTGGTATTTTTTTAAACATTTTTGTGAACTGAAACGCGCAAACTTCGTAATTAGTAAATCCCAGTTTAAAACAATAATGAAAGTGAGGCTTCATCTGCCCGAGTGGCGCTTCCTAAAACTAGAGCAGCGCGACTTTTTAATTGACATTTTTTCCTCTGCATAATACTTGTAATAAATTAGAATTTTAATTCAAAACTACATCACGGATGTAGGTTAAGTGATTAACAAGATGTTTTGTTTCTGAACTTGTTGTTGCTACTAAAGCACAGTTTTTACTGCTGACTGCCTCGTTGGCCGAGTGGTCGCAAAGTATTAATGGGTTTTTAAAAAATTCTCAGTAGTAGCAGAGAGTCTGGAACTGTGAACTCACCCCCTATTACATGAGACTCATAACATAAATAGTAAAAAGTGGGTGTTACATTGTACAGTGGTATAATGTGCACCTCTGCCTACCCCTTCGAGGATAAAAGGCGTGATGTTATATTATGTATTTACTAACTCACCAATTTCATAAAAAAATTAGTGGCAAAAATAAAAGTACATATTAATGAATTGAAAAGCTAACAACAATGTGTGCCTAGCCAATCGAATCTATAGTCTAAGCCAATGATCCATAAAATATGTACAACCACGCAAAATTATATTTCATCTGCTACATGTGATGTGCTGAACATACAAAATGGTCAGTTCCAAGGCGCGGTGCGGGCGCGCGGCCACCAGGTGTCATGCATCGCTAAGTGAGGTGGTTTCCATTATCGCATTCGCCATTCGATGACCAAAATAGGCCACATACAAGTATTAATTTATACCCAAAGTGTTGATCAGTGGCAGCTTTTATTATAACATTCGATACAAACACCTGTTACCTACATACCATATAAAAACAGAACGGAAGTGTACAGAGCTATGTACACAGAAAAACCTAAAGATTATGACTGCAATTAACTAAAGAACAAATATGATAAACGAGTTGACCATTTTGTTTTAAATAAAATAATAATATTTATAGCCAGAGAAATGACAAATTGATGCAATAACATGCGCACGTCGTAGGATCTGTCATCAAGAAAATGGGGAGCATTCAGTGGACAGTAATAACGCTGAGGAACCCTCAAGGGGATTGGTGTAGCGGATACGAAATTAAGTAGAAGAAAACGTTGGAGACAAAATAGTAGGTGAATAAACAAACGTAGCTCACAATACCGGCGCAGTGGACAAGCACACCGCCCGCTACGATTGAGACAACCTCCTGGGTAAAACCCGTTCTGGCGGACCACGTTAATTACACTCGCCAACGATTCCGAGCAGATGGCAACGCTACTCAATTTATATTGCATTACTCATCTTAACATTAATTTTATTGTATTCCTGCTCAACTTGAACCAAACTTAAATAAAACAGTTCCTTGTAAAGTAATTGCTTCTTAAAACAGTTGATACAAAATATCAATTCTGTACTCAATTTGTTTAAAGTTATAACTATATGTTTCGGTTCAAGAAAGTGTCTCAGGATATTTGTATAAATGATTTTCTAACTAAATTCGGGTTTAACACGTACCTAAATGGTGAAAATGTCGAAAACCGCTTACATTTTCTCATGACCTTATTCTTTCGCACGATGGTAAACATTAGTGAGTGCAAAAGCTAAAGCGTACTGAAGTTGTATACGCCTACGTCGAGTTTGAATATTCTCGTGAAGTTTTGCATGCGAAATCTTTCGTTACGAGCCGAGTCTAATAGCAAGTATGTTCGTGCGAAATTGCAGAAACTACAATATAGGCTTTAAGAGCTCTACTATAAGACTCACGTGAAAATCAGTGAAGAAAAAGCTTGGTCGAACGATATGAATATTCCGGCGGCGCGTCGCTACGTTGCCGCATCGCAACCCGTCACAATCTTCATTAGCATTCTGTCTCTCCCTTTTTGTCTCCCATTTCTCCTTTACAATTTTACCTGTTCTCTCTGAATTTTTCATGTATGTTTTTGTTAGAACACCAAAGTGGATTACAAGGCAAAATATCCTAATATAAATATTTGGGACTACTTTGACATACTTACTGAATAGATAATATTGATATTTTTGCTCAAGTCTTTGATCAGAGCGCGACTGGTTTAGGGTTGCTCAACCGTTTTATACATATGACTATAAATAATCAAAATTCAACTTTCGTCAAGAGCTGAACAGATTCTGATGTCAATTTTACAAGGAGACCTCTACAATACAATGATATATTTCAAATGAGAAATCCATTTTTATATATCTTTATTAATTTTAGGGACTTTTAGTTATACAAAGGCAGCATTATATCAAATCTATCAATTTATTCATAGAATTAATATTGTAGTCTAAATGCAATAAAATTTGTATATATTTACTTAACGGTTGGCCAACTGGTCTACGTCATATGAGCAAGTACTTATAAATTAACCTTCAATTCAGTGGAACAAACCATAGCACATTAAGTGCCTAACCTTTAAGTTTAGGACAACTAACCATAGTAGACCCAAGCTCGTGATAGCAAAGCCCAATAATCGGATGTGTGTGCACGTGCCTTAGAAATATGATGGAACACTTAATTCAACTACAAATGCCACGCCCACTGAAGAGTTTTCTCATATGAGAAGCTCTGTTCTTCAACTACATTGCAATATTATTATGGCGAAGGCAACAGAAGCATATTTACAATTTACATATTTGTTAGCAATAAGTAATGAAATAAAATCAATTATTATGTTGATGTATACACAGTAAATATTCCCAATATTAGAGCTTTCAGAATAATACATTTGGCATTATTACTCTATATAATGTGATTCGTCGTGTAAGTGACGTTACCGGAGGCTCAATTACTCCCTCTCCAATCTCCCCAATCCCTGAATCCCTAACCATCCTCGAATTCCTAATCCCTAAAAGGTCGGTAACGCACTTGTAACGCCTCTGGTGTTTCGGGTGTCCACGGGCGACGGCGATTGCTTATCATCGGGTCATCCGTTTGTCCGTTTGCCGGCTTATGTCATAAAACAATTACATAAAAAAATCACTTTAAATTGTATTTTACACAAAATTAATTGCAATACATAACCACTAAACCAATAAACTATAATAATTCAGCTTTACCGCTACATTATGATCAAAATTAATGAACTGTGCACTAAAGTGACATCATTTGTGTGACTAAATAAATAATAATTAACTCAATTGAATTCCACGAGTCATACACCAACTGAACTATGTATTAAATGTTAATAATTGTCACATTTAATGGGATTAAGTTTATCGCAATCAGACTTATTTGGCGACAGTAATTATTATTAGTGGACTATTTAATGAAATATTTTTATAATTAACATCCTACATACACAAGCATCCCCTAAATATATAACATCTCCAAAGTATAGAAAGTATGATATATTGGTACGTTCGAAAAACTGTATCAAAAACTCGTTAACGACAACTAGTTCAATGAGGCAATATAGGAGCAAATACTTTAAAATTCACTATTCATTAAGCGCCATGAACAAGCTGCTTACCTGAATATTCGGAGAGATTAATTAAATTAATAATAAGATACCGTACATGTACCTAAGCAGGAGGCGAACAATATTTAGAGATAGTTACTTTACCAGTATTACTGAATAATTAATAAATTCATTAATTATCTACAGTTCAATATAACATGGAGTGCTGTTTAAAATGTAACCTTACTACAGTAACTATTGTTTACCATGTATTTTTTGTTGATGCAGGTCAAGGCTAAGCAGATCGCTGACATGAATCTTGAGAATGAAATCTTGGAACCATTTGAGAACCGACCTGGACCCCTCAAGCCTGAGCGTAACCACAAGTACCGTCATAATAAGATGGTCCATGCCCAGATTTCTCGGCTTGCTCATTCTCAAGACCAGATGGATGAATTCCAACAAAGTCTGCAAACCCAGATCCTTGATGTCCAGCGCCGAATGGACCGATTCGAGGAGCCCAATTGGAACCTCCTGTCAGCTAAAGTTGAATTTTTAGAATTAGAAACCAAGGTCCTGGACGATCACTTAAAGAACGTAACGCAGAAGGTTTCCGATTTTGACAAGGTCCATGCTTCGATCTTGGAATTGCGCGAAGATGTCGAAAGCATCGAAAACAAAGCTGATAAAACTATTCCCGAATTCCGTAAGGAGATATCTAAATTGGATGTCAACTTTGCTCAGGTAACTATTATTACGGGTCATAACAGTTTACCTTATACCAATAAATGAAAACGAAACAATGTAAAAAAAAACGAAGTAATCAATATCAATTAAAATATTACAGGCTTTTACCCATACAGAATGTTTATATGTATCGATGTTGCGAGTGCTTTGAGATTATTTTCTAAATCAAAATGATGAATTACTAAACTAATCTGCGTTCAAAAGAAGAATATTAGCAGTTTCTTATATTTTAACATGCATTTAAAATACTTCTTTTTTGTTGATCTAGCTTAACGCGGCTTCGTCCTACTTCAAAGAAGACCAGGAAAATCTGAGGCAGTCAGTGAAGGCAATAGCAGTAAGCGTAAGCAACGCAATCGACAGGGCTGAAATGGACAGGCTGGTTATGAAGAAAATCAACGAATCTGTGGAGGAACTCGAAGCGCGATCCCGGCAACACTTCTATCGGCTCAATGATCACATCTTGAAGGTAAGATAAAAAATAATTTAAATATCATTTAAGAAACGAAATTGTAGTACGTTAAAACCCCCAGGTACTGGAATTAACTTTAAAACCTGTAGATTTCGAAAGTCGAAATGTAATGTAAATAATATATAACTATTTATAATAAAATAAAATTATTTATAAGATAAAATGCAAACATTTTATCTACAAATAAATGAGAACTATTTGTGGATACAATGCCATTACTCCCTATTGTAGATTTACTTCCGTGATTAATTATTTACCGATGTCTACAAACGGTTCGCTGATTGCATTATGTAGGACGTGACACATGAGCTTGTTAATTGACAATTATAATGTTTTGCTAGCTTGATTAACACCAAAATGTTTGAAAAAGTATAAATTTGTTTTGGTATCTAATACTTACTTATTTTGGAACAGAGCGAAGCCAACCATGACGTGAATCAAACTGAAAGCATCCCTCTGCCTGAATTGATGGGAGAAGTAAAAGAACTGCAACCTGTAGAGCGTGAATACGAAGACCTCGTCAACCAACTCCCAAGGGACTGCTCCAGCATCTCCGGGCCTGCCGGCGTTTACCTTATCCACCCTGGCCAAGCACCATTCGACACATGGTGTGTCAACGGCAGCACCCTGATTCAACGGCGCTACAACGGATCTGTGGAGTTCAACCGGAAGTTTTCTGAGTACGTACACGGCTTCGGCGACCCGGCTTCGGAGTATTGGTTGGGCCTGGAATCAATGCACCGGTTGACTGCAGATAACTGTTCCTCGATGCGCATTGACATGAGCGATATTTATGGAGGATTCTGGTACGCTGAATATGAACATTTCTATGTTGGTAGCGCTGACGCTGGATACACGCTGGAAGTAGGAGGATTCAAGGGAAATGCGAGTGATGCTTTTGATTACCAGAACCATATGGAGTTTTCAGCAATTGACCGAGACCGCGATATCTCGAACACTCACTGCGCCGGAAATTATGAAGGAGGATGGTGGTTTTCGCATTGCCAGCACGTGAATATCAATGGAAAGTACACTCTCGGTCTGACTTGGTTTGATTCCGTGCGCAACGAGTGGATAGCCGTAGCCACGAGCGAGATGCGCATGTCTCGCCGGCCTGGTTGCTCTTAAATAGATCAGCCATAAATTAGAATTCATAATCACGTAGTTAATTAATAACGATTCATATAATTATTAATAATATTCACTTTCAATTATGCCAAAGATAAAAAATAAGTATGGGTATTTTTATTTCATTAGATCGATTAGTTTCGTAGACAGTATTAATATTTTTGACGTGTCGTTTTCTTATTTCAACCTTTATTTTACCGACTTCAGTTTTGATACTTAGTTACATTCCATTTTGTACTTATCTGATTAGTTTTGGTGTGTCAAGGTGTATTGAGTTTCGGGTGTGTACTTATAATTTAAATTGTCAGGTTAGCCGTATTCTTAGAGCGTAGATCAATCTAACGCCACATACGGGTCTTTACTCGAATGTTGACCAGTTCGACCCGGCAAACAATTGAGTGCGTAACTTGCTTTGGATTTACTTCTAGCTTGGATGCAGACAACTTATTGCTAAGTTTATTTATCTATATTTTCTTACTACTTGTTTTAAAGTTTGTAAATATAATTTTATTAGGCAAGAGAAGCCATATTCTGTTTCACGTTCATGACAGACTTAGTCAAGGGAGTTGTAAATGGTATCTAATATAAGCAATTAGCTCGTAAGGATGATTAAATAAAAAGGCATGAAATGCTTTCACTTGAAGGACTTGTTTAAGAACACATAACAAGGGGATCGGGTGGTAACTATTTATTTATTACAATATAATTTGTCGATGAATTTTATTACATTTACGAGATTGTTTTACATTTCTCTGTTTTTGATAAAAGACTGTCTGCTGAAAGCGCGTTTTGCTTTCGACAATTAATATCATTATTGATGTAATTTATTTATATTTGATTGGTATTGGCATTTATAATATGATAAGCTAATAATAAAATATGTAATAGCGTAATTCAATATAATCCATAAAAAATAATAATGCATTTAATCCAAATACTCGTAGAATGTACTCGTGACTCGTGTATGACGTAACATGTAGCGTCTTTATCCAAATTATCTCTTTATAATAGTAATAGTATGCGCCAAATGCGTAATTTAATTCCATGTACCGATCAATATTATACCAAATAAAGATGAAAAAAATATTATTGTTTTATTTCACTACCAAATTTTATTTTCTACCTATTTATGTATCAGCAAAGACCAGAGTCGTAAAATGACATTTGGTGGCGATGAATAGAAAGTATACCTATATTAATAACGCTGATCTCAAGCATCTTGGAATCCTTACTAATATTATAAATCTTATGAGTTTGTTTGTTTGTTTGTTTGTCCCGCTTTCACGCCGTAACTACTAAACCGATTGCTTTGATTTTTTGCAAACGTAAAGTTAGAAGTCTGGATTAAATAATAGGGTACTTTTTATCCCGGAAAAATTTGATATTCTCGAGGAAAAACGAAATTATTGGTATAGATGGCGCTGTGAGTATTGGTATATGTCACATAGGCTACTTTTAATGCATTTGTGACGCGAACGAACCCGCATGTAAAAGCTAGTAAAACTTATAAAATAGGTTATAGACGACAGAAAGAAGGTTCATTATTACATTCTATATCATGATCAAAACCAAGGACGTTGAAAAAAGGCGGCCACAGTCTCTTAAAACAACAACTATGGCACCTGGCTACTATTAAGTTACACGTAGAATAAACACATTGACACGAAGGACATCTGTCATTTTGTTGAATCGGGCCCTCATCTTGGTAACCTATTATTACACACGCACATATTAAAAAACGAAACCACTGACAGTTTGGTGCATCGATTATTACTGAGTGGTATTATGTACCTTTATTTCCACGTTCTTTGATCAAAGCAAATTTTAATTATCTATAGGAATACAAAGAGTACTTCTCATCAGTTGGGTACCTATATTAGGAGTCTAATACCGGTTTTCTCCAACCTATAAGTAAAGTGATACCAGACAGTACAAGTATAGGGTTTGTTTGGGTGCTACGTCATCCTAAGAAATCGTAAGTCATATGATGGTTAAGGACGATTGATGAGGAGACCTAACTTTCAAGAAACGTAATGGGGATGATGACAGGGTATGAAAATTAAAAATATAATTAGTCCGTAAGTTAGGTAATTAAAAAATATTAGACACGTATTTTTTTATTTTGTGGTGTAATAAAACAATACTTAGATAAAAAGAATCAAAGTTTAGGAGTGGAGGCTAAAACGTCATTTCTTAGTATAAAATGTACATAGAAGTGAAGTCACGCGACATTTCAAATCAGTATATCGTCGAAAGTATTCGTATCTGTAAGAAAATAAAAAATACGTGTCTAATGTTTTTAAATAATCTACCAGACGGACATTAAAATAAAAATTAGTCGTCTACCCTATTTTTCTTTTAAAACTATAGCACCACGCTAAGATTGTCTCTTATATCGTGGATAAGTTTCACGTGCATGTCACACTCTGACTCCAACAACAATTTGTGGAACGCAAACAATTGTTCAATACCGAGATCAAAACTGCGCCACGTCAGTGTCAGTCACTGTACCAAAGCTGCAGTCTTAGTAATTTCTGCAATGCCTACATAAACCATAAATTTTTGGGTGCTAGGTTAGACTATGCTAATCAGTTGTCACAACACAACTACACCAGAAACGTACTACAGAATGAGAAAAAAATTAAAAACTGATGTTAGGTGAAAATAAGGAAAGAATTCATTAAAAATAAAAACTACGTTTAAAAAACCGACTTTCTAAATCCAAAAACTAATAACAAACAAAAGGTCAAAACTAAAAAGCAAAAAATAGCTATTACTAGTGCTGATAGGTTACCCAATTACCCATCCACTAATAGGTTAGAACTCGATACCGTAGGTAAGCTCATATCATAATGATATAACTTAATGGTCACTTTTACAATTTTGTCCCGTTCATTCAATAATTTTTTGAACGGTCAAAAACGACAGCTTTCTTTGAATTTTGTAGGAGATTTTCTTTTATTATTGCATGAGCCGGTAAACGAGCAGACGGATCACCTGGAAAACCAGAGGCGTTACAAGTGCGTTTCCGGCCTTTTGGGGATTAGGAGTTTGGAGTATCGTTGGGGATTCAGGGATAGGGGAGATCGGGGAAGGGGATGGTAATTGGTAGTATCACTCCGGTCGAGCCGGCCTATTCGTGCCGAAACATGGCTCTCCCACTCTTAATGTATTGTGACGTCATGTTTTTATAGCGTCAAACAACTTATTTCTTAAAAATGTACTGAAAAGATACTAAAATTTAATTGGTCATAAAATCAATTAATGAAAGTGTGATTATTTTTAAATATTTTACGAAAGTACTCAATTAATTTTTGAACCAAATAATAAAACATTTACGTATTTAAGGATTTTTAGAAAACCATTTAGTGGGTTATATTATTTAATAGTTCTTCGTTTGATAATATGACAAATCTTGGATGGATGGAAAATCTTAGGCGCGCAACGTGTCGCGGGTTCGATTTCTGCACGGAACAACTCTTTGTGTGACCCACAGATTGTTGTTCCGAGTCTGGGTGTCAGGTGTATGTGAAATTGTATGTTAGTAAACGCACCCACGACGCAGGAGGACATACTAGTGTAGGGCCACGTTTTTAAAAAAATAAATAAATAGGCACAATCAGGCACAATACCATTGAGAACTCTTATCATCATCGGTAGCATTGATGGACAATAACTTGCCCTTCTCAGTCAGGTATAAAATAATTAAGACAATCTACCATCTAAAATCCAACGACTGCCCGTACTGAAACGATCTTATTAGTGACAATCAAAGCTTTATTTAAAAAAAAACCTTAAGTTATTACGTGAAGAATAGCCAACATAATCCCTTAGATGTGATGCAAGTCTATCACTAATCGGCCTAGCTTGCGCAACTGGGTCAAACGAAAAGCGTACCCACTATCTATACAGATAAATAAAATTGGAGTGTGTGTTTGTAATATTAAAATAACAGCTTTTTACTACATACATATGAATAATGTACATACCAATTACCCTGTGTATTTCCTGAAGGGTATATGTGTATAACCTGGGTATCTTTAAGACCCGAGTAAATAGGTTGCTTATGGGACTATGTGCTCCATCGTAGACCGCATCATCGCTACCAAATAGAGCTCAAACGTCAGCCCATCAAATATAAAAAAATATAATTTTACAATTTTTGTCTGTCTGTTTGTATTGGCTAATCTCTGAAATGGCTGGACTAAGTTTGCATGTATTTTATTGTCAGGTAGCTGATGTACTAAGGAGGAACATAGGCTACTTTTATTTTGGAAAATTGGAAAAACAAAAAAGTGATGTTTTAAAATTTATAATCGACGCGCACGAAGTCGCGAGCAATAGCTAGTTTGAAAATATATTTGCGCTATTCACCATAAAATATGATATTGATATAAAACCTAATTGCTATCGTGATCGAAAAATTTCGTCGGGGACTATAACAGGCACAGGAATATTTAAAAAAATAATCCAAGATAGTTCTAAACTGGTATGCTAAAATGTCCACCACACCACACATATTGAATACCATAGGAGTATTCAATATGTGTGGTGTAAACATTGCTAGACTAATACCCTTCAATAGATAATAACCCTTCAACTATATGCGCATTTAATAATACAGCAGACTGGACAATTTTCATGAAAATTCCGATGAAATGCATAACCACAGTTCCATAATTAAGGACGATTTAATCGTGCATCATACAAGCGAGTCGGCAATGCACTCTATTCAGAGTGGTAAATAAATCCCTTCTGTTGAAAAGGTACTCATAATTAATAACAACTCAAAACAGTGTTTACCATTTAAGTATTTAAATTATTACCTGCCAAACGTATTTTGAGGTGTCTTCCCTAGTGCACTCATTTCATTGCACCTTTCTTATATTTTTAAGCAAGCTGTAGGTATGTTAAACAATCAACGTTTTTCTTTTTTCAGTTCTTCGACACAGTTAGGTCAATCGTCAATCATATAACTACATCAATAACTCTACTTCTCGTTGACCAAGTGGTCGCAAGTGCAACTGCTGACCCCTTGCCCGAAGGGGTCTCGGGTTCTATACCCAGACCGACCAAAGTATTACTGGTTTTTTTTCAAAATAATCCCAGTAGTAGCACGGAGCCTAGAACTGTGCCCAGTATATGGCAATAGGCTCACTATTAGATGGGACTCATAACATAAATAGTGAAAAGTGGGTGTTACATTGTACGGTGGCATTAAGTGCTGTAATTTGCTGCCGGAGTTTTGTGTCCGGTGGTCAGTGGAAGGCAACTGTATCTTTGTGGGTACGCGTCGAAATGAACCAGAGCTCAGCAGGGTTGTCACTGGAATAGTGCTTGTTTGGCAGCCAGAAAATATGTAATACCCTCAGTTAATTGAAAAAAGACTAAATATAGAAAGTGCATCTTTACATTTTTGTTCGTATTTACATAAGTCTTAAAGTCTTATATCTTAGTCTCTTATAAATGCATTCTTACATTTTTGTTTGTATTTACTTTTACTATTTGATCTATACATTTTTCTAATCACAACTTTTCACACACATACGCACGCATACACATATGCACACATAGTCTGCAGAATTTATTTTATCTATTTAATCTCATATTTAAATCTATTTTCTTTTCCTTATTGAGGGGCGGTACCGCCGTCCGTGAGTCACTGCAGGGTGCCACCTGAAAATCAGCGTTGGGCAGGAATGCTCAACTATATGCTGAGGTGGAGGCCCTTTTGACATGTGCACACGCAGTATTATATTATTTATATTATGGTGTTTTTTTTTGTGTATTTAATTTGTTTGTATGTACATTATTTTCTTATATTTTGATGATTTTTATTATTTTCTTTATGCTTTTATGTTTCCTTTTGATATTATGTATTTGTGTAAGTATGTACTTGTATATTTTTTTTTTTCATAATCTTTGTTTGTGTGCCATGTGCCAAATAAATGCTTTTTCTTTCTTTCTTTCTTTCTTTAATTTGCACTTTTGCCAACCCCTGCCGTGGTAAAAGGCGTGATGTTATGTCAATTAACTCAAAAGAAAAGTTTCAAAAAATCATCTAAATCAGGGGGCGCTACTGATCTTAGTTAAAATGTTTGTAATACGTTGTTCCTACAAACTCTGTACAGCGCTTTCAAAAAAGTGTTGTATGAAAAGGAAAGCCGACACAAAAAATATATTATTAAAATATATTATTTCGATGTCAAGAAGGCAACACTTGAGACAACAAAGTTGTTTTGATAACACAAACAAATACTTCAATATTAATAATTCAATATTATTCATTTCAAAAACTGTATTAAATGTTTTATAATAAACTATACATACCTCTATATTACGACATAAGACTGTAAGACATAAGTTAGAGTAGTTTTTAAGTTTGTTTATTTAACTCTGTTACAACCTTGGTTACAACTGTAATTCATGTTATTGTAACTACAGCAATAAAGGCTTATTTTATTTTTATTTTTTTTATATTCGACATAAGACACAAGTCATATCATATATGATATGCTTGGGCACGAATGGGCCAACTCAACTGGAACTATACCACGATCCCAAAGAAAAATGACGTGAAACAACGCTAGCGTTAATTTTTGCCGTGGGAGTGAGTTATACCATAGAAAAAAAATACTGTGTTGATGACCGAATAAGAAAGGTGCATTTAGGATGAACAGAGATCCTCCACATTTACGTCGGAAAACTCATTCACTTCAAAAGGTGAATTCATATCCGTTTACCTGCTCGGTTTCCAATTTAGAGAAACAGATGCAAATATATTTGTCGTCAACAGAACAGACAAGTCAACAAGATTTTAAGCTCAAATAAAATGACGAGTTGAAAATGGACCAAAGTGGTTCCTGTGAATGTTACATAAAAATATTTCACGAAACCTTGAACCGATTCATTCCGTGAGCTTCAATTCTGGTAATTGCATCAATAAAAGCTAGTTTTGCATGAACGTCGTGGAAAATTCGGACTGCATTTTGGTTTGCCGTATGCCGTACTTACTTTACAGAACGTTTAGAAGATTTGTCAACCCAAAGAAGGGTTTAATGTTATACCTCTAATATTTTTGTATTTTCTACATTATTACTGTAAGCAGCCGGTTAGTTGTTGATGATGACCAGTTTTATAAGTGAATTGTTTCTACCCTTCGGCCAGTTCACTGCAAGACATTTAATTCTTGCCTCGAACAGACTACAAAAGACTCGCTTATCATTACAAAACAACTAGTAAAAATATAATTGTTAAGCATAAGCCGCTTATTGTTTGAAGGAACGACAGGAGCGATGTTTACATAAAATATTAAATTGAAATAAGAAAACTCCTTGTAGAAACTGTCCTAATAAGTCTAACAGGGGTCTGGGGTGTGTCTTACGCAATACTAGAGAGATCCGAGGGATGACATGCTTAAATACCATTAGAATACATACATACTTGGCCGAGTGGTCGCAAGTACGACTGCCGGGCAAGGGGTCTGGGGTTCGATTCCCGGGTCGGGCAAAGTGTTACTGGGGTTTTAAAAAATCTCAGTAGAAAAATCACGGAGCCGGGAAATGTGTCCGGTATATGGCAATAGGCTCACCCCCTATTATGTGGGACTCATAACATAAATAGTGAAAAGTGGGTGTTACACTGTACATTGGCATTAAATGCCGAAATGTGCACATCCGCCTACCCTATATGTTATACATACAAAATAGTCAGCGGTGAATTTAGCGCAGGTTGGTGTAAAGGAAGACGACTTTAAACAAATGCTAAGTAAAGTCGGTTCTGGCAGTAGGAACGATCGGGGGAGGACTCTTATTTATTAATTTTCAGGAAAAGAAGGAGTTTTTCAAATGAACTATTTCTTCCAAAAAGGATCTAAAAGAGTATGGATGGATGGAAATAGTTGGGACGATACGTACATCGATAAGACTTATCATTAAAAATCCTCAAAACCGAAAGAGGTGGCTGAAACTGAATGATGCTTAAACCCTATTTTAAAGGGGGGAAAAACATAGAATGACTTCTTCCGCCTGGGTAAGGCGGAAGGGAGTGATACTCCCTTCCGACTCTTACTAACTAAAAACCACCCCGTTCCTACTCCTGCACTTCGAGCCGGAGCCCCGGTAACCCGTTAAGTTCTCCACGGCTCTGTATAAGCCCATAAGCCCTATTGGGCCCCATCTGTGGTGGTCTGATGGCTCTTTGAGGCGCGCGCGGAACGCGACGCGGCACACGCTCGGGTCTGGTTCTGGTCGGGCGGCGTGCTACCAATGCTCGCCGTCCGCAGGCTCGTGGAAGCTTAAACCCTTGCTATAGAAAAAGGCTAAACGAGAAAAAGAAGTCTAAGTTCTTGGAATACGGTATTTTACTACTTCAACACTAATATTGCCAAGAGGGATTTACCGTTCAATGTTCATATACAAGCAAAGCTTAGCCTAGTTTCCAATTGCTTCTGATAAATTTTCTGGAATTTATTCCCCAAAGGGGTGTGCTGAGTTGTATTTATATCTAACCCACTTTACAATAGTTGCGTTGTTCTTAATCCTCTTGTATTCAGACCACAGTTTAAATACTTCTAAATCTCAGCTATTTAAAACTACTGATTGTAATATATTATATTGCAGTCAGACAAATGATTTGGTGTGCAGGTGCTCAAGGATTTGATGCAGGATAGAGGCCAAAACTATAAGTTGGTTATTGAGTCAACTAATAGTTTTATGTTTGACGAGTGTACAAGTAGTTGTTACGTAGCTTACAACATAACTGGCTTGAAGTGAGTGATACATTAAAAATAAAATAATAAAAAGCGTAATGATATGTGATCTGTTTATAAATTCATATTAACGTGAAAGCTTCTTGTTTTCGTTTCCATAAAAATAATGACAGAAATAAATTTTATTGATTAAGTTATTTTAGCCGTAAGCAGTATCTTGATGGAAACAAACAATGTTACGAAGAGAGTTTTTAAAAGTAGTCTACAACTTTATGTCGATTAATCGATAGTAATAAAAAGGATAGGTTAGGAAATTCTGCCAAGCATGGGCAGATGATGATGATGATGATGTACTTTAAGGGATAAATAATTCAGCAGTGGATGTACTGGATGTTGATGAAATCAAGAATTACATGGAGGGCTGTAAGACCCTTACTTGTAATTGTAGTTTCACTAATGAGGTGAAAAAATATTTTTGCATCCCAAATGCGCTTTTACCACCTTTATGTTCAGTAAGTAGACTTTTGTTGCGAACAACTGTCGACTTTTGAACTGGTCTCACTCGTTTCCGCAACTAAAATTATCCCGCAGTATTTAATCCTCCACTTGGTTGTTTCCAATGGCGGTAAATAATTCTCTTTGTTGTTGAGTAAAATAGTTTCTAGTAAACATCTTTGGTAGCTGTTTTGTCTATATAGCCGAATTTATTTACATTACGGAACACGAATAAGTTTCAGACAAAATGTAATTAATTTACAACGCTCATTACAAACTAGTGTACTGACTCATTTACCGAGTTATTACATAAAAATATGAGGTTTCGAATCCAAAACCATCTAACAGTATAATAAATGACAGTCGGTAATTTATGAGTCAACTACATTTTAATGATAAACTATGGAATAAATTCATAATATTCAGTGTCACTATCATCGTCACTTACGTTCAGTACCCCATGTGTAACTTCTGTATCATTTATCGTGGTCATTGTAACATTCGGGTCCAGAAATGGTTCTAGGGGATTATACGTGAAATTCGCATATGTGGTCTTTCTCATATATCTCCTCTCTCTTATCACCTCGTACAGTCTTTTCTTATATTTGTGATGAATTCCACCGTATAAATAGTCCCTAATGTCGTACACATGTCCTCTTAGCTTTGCGAGCACTTTGTCCAGTTTCCTGACCTCCATAGGTTTATTAGGTACTTGGAAAGGCTTAGGAGGTACAACCCTAGTCAAGGTAAGCCATTTTGTCAAAACGTACGCACGTTTAGCTTCAAATAGAAAAGTCAGGTTTTTTGCAGTAATACGCCGTAGTATCGGAATATTGTGGACCAACCATCTGGAAATAAATTTACAGTTGTTAGAAATCATCTTGGCTCTGTCTATCCTAGTAGTTTCCCTCATATTTTGGTTGCTTACAAGAAATTGTCCTGAAATGTACACAGACAATTCGGAAGTTCTAAGTAATAGCACAGTGATTAGTCATGGATTAATGAATCATAATCATAGACTCTGTAATAGACCCCATCATAATAATAGACAATAGGATTATATGTGAATTAGTAATTAGTATCAATGTAATACCTATGTATGTAGAATTAGGTTTCACTATGCTGGTCTGCACTTTTCAGCTTACGCATCGCTACGACATGTTGAGTACTGTAGACATACATACATCGAGATGAACTGTCGACAAACTGCTAGCAGTTTCGACCTTAGTAAATCCGTAAATCCAATTCAGGTCTGTATCTATATCTGTAGGTACATATTGATGACAGACTGTTATAAGTATATTGTAATAGTGTGCAGTTCTTTACGGTCTAACACCTAACAATATCAAGTACAATATTCATAGTATTACTAACAATTCGGTTACAATATCGCCTTTGTATCAGAAAAGCCAGGAATATACTAAATACAGTCTACTCACGGTTGAAAGTGCTGAATGCTGGTGTAAATTAGGGGCAGGTCGTGGTCGTAGCCGCAGCCGAAGCCCCATGAGAGGATGCCAGCCAGGTGACCTTTCACCACCATTGGAGCTCCCGGTACTGCAATACACGGCGCCAATTGCTGTTTCTCGCGAGATCGACCAGCGCAAAACATTCCCGCCTTTAATATAACTCCATTCTGCAACCAAATGAAAACAAAATCCAATAAAAAGTCTCGATTCCGAAAAGGTATAGGTTACCGCGGAAAAATTGTAGTTTCTATTCCGTCAGAATGTTATTAATCCCTTGCCACACGAGACGAGACTAGTGCCAAAGGCCGCATATGTACGATTTCCCATTCCATGTTGCTAATGGAAACTACGAAAATTGAAAAATCACTGAAACCATGCTGACTGAAATGTACCTATAGGTATTTGTAACATACACTATGTCCGCACGAAAATCACTAAAAATATTATTTTTCTACAACATATACTATACTTGGATGGCAGTTTAAATATCTGTATAAGTAAAATTGTGTAGATACACATAGTTGACAATGATATTATGTACAAACGAAACTGGAGACGGTACGAGATGAACTATTGGAACTCCGAAAAAAATTGGCGAAACGGCCCTAAAATGTTGACATTTTTTTAGTTTCACGTTGTAAGATTTCTTTTTTCTTTCAATCCTCTTTAATTGGTTCGCCTTGCTACCTTACAACTTCCCTGACGTCGACATCAAATTGTGAATCCGGCTCAAGAACAAGCGCATTAAATTTTAACAAAGATTCCTCAATAAACCGTTGTTACATTTTTCCTGATTCCTTCTCCACAAATTAATGTAAGTACGTTATTAAACTGGTACCAACCTCTAAATTGAGTGTTCAGTTTATGTAACTGTAAGCTCTGAATATAAAGTTTTTGGTATTTGTTTCGCCAAATTCAAAAATCAAAGTATACAAAATACATATAGCCTTCATTCAATCTGTCTTTTTTGTAGAACAATGTGATATTGTAAGGTAGTAAAATAGTAATCGAAAGACAAACGAAAATAATTAAAATATCAGTCAACGCAAACTATAGCACTTCTATAAACGCAGATCCCTAGTCTTCAATTTTAATTAAAAAACAATCGCATTGTAGTAACTAAATGTCCAACCAACACCGCCATTTAAAATATCTTTTGGCAACAAACAAAAGAATCACGTAAACAACAAAACGAATGAATTAAAGGAAACAAGCGAAATAAATTTTCAGTATTTGTGTTACAAAGAGTTGGGAGGTATATTGAAGTACTTCATGTGGGGACATACACACGAACATCGATCAGCCGTAAACTCTATAGATATAGACATTTCTACGTTTCACCGCAAAGGGAGTACAATACTCGAGCATGTTGGGCAAATATAATCCAATTGCACACCGTTTATAAAGCTTTGTATTCAAAGAATGCAACTAGCAATTGTACGCCGTAGTCTGAAGACTATAACTATACAATGTAACTAGAACGATTATGACCACATCTTCAAATTGCAAATAAAAAACGACCTTGACCTCCACTAGATTTATAAAACATTTATTCTATTTTTCCGTAACAGCTATTGCAAAATGTAATCAATGAGGACGACTGTTTTTATTATACTACCTATATTATATTCAACAAATATTATATGTTGTTAAGGCATACGTAAAATATATAATACTTATATTCAGGCCTTGTAATAGGCTATCAAACTACTCATTACATAATTAACAATTACATTAGTAATTCCTTATTACATGGCATTATTGATAAACCTCTCTTATAACAGAAAAGACAAGGAACAAAACGACGATTTTTTTATGTAAAATATCTCTGTAATACCAAAATACGTACATCAACACAATTGCTGACGATCTCTAAATAACTGAAGATAATAAATTCGGGTAATTAAAACCCAGTAACCCCTGATATCCGAGCGAACAATGGGCTTAACTTCACAAAATAATTTCACCGCGTACAACAAAAATATCTTTTATAAAAATTCCTCATTTTTGTTAGTGAAAATAAATACAATTTTACCCCACGGGCTTCTTCGGCGCAACGAAATGAAAACATCAGTAATTATGAAAAGAAAAAATTATTCGTAGATGATAATATAAATATCTTATTTATAAGATTATGTTTGTTTTGTATTTTTTAATAAATAAAGATCATATAGGTAGGAACATAAGTATGAATCACCAAAATGCATTTACCTGAAGGCACAACTTCCAAACATATGCACTGTAAATTGGATAATTCTATTTTGTAGTTAAGGCGTATATAAAAAAATGGAATATATCTAGATCTACCTATATTACATTAACCGTGAAAGTGTAAGGTATAATCTGTATAAAACGTCAATGGACCGCTGATACGAATATACATATATATATATATGCTACACTACATATATGTCCAAATACTCAAACGTCAATCCATTTTAAGTATAGTTCTGTCACTATAAAATCTTTATGAAACGACAGAGACACCACGAAAATCAATCATCATCAACAGCCTATAAATGCCTATTGTTGAACAAATCCTCTTCACACACGGAGAAGGTTTGAGCATTAATCACTACGTTTGCTGAATGGATAGCACGATATTTAAGTATAGTAAAATTAGGTTGCCTTTCAGTATTCGGGCGATAGAGTACAACACAAGTAGAGGAAATACGTAGGTAAGTACTTAAATATATCTAGTAAACCGATTTTCCTTTGATTTATTTACTTGTCGGTTTTATGTGCGTGTTTCTTTTTCATAGTAAAATTTATGACATATTCTAGAGGTCAGATAGTGAACGGCCAAATGTCTGCATATTTTTTTACCAAGCTCACGATATGAAGAAATATTGATTACTTAATACAGCATACTATTCCTCATATCTACAGGGACGCTATAGTGGTTATTTTTACATATAATAAATCTATAACACAAATTTTGTCTGTTTGTCTGTCTGTATGTATGTTCACACATCACGTAAAAACTACCAGTTCGATTACGATAAAACTTAGTATTATTATATTCATAATCCTAGTGCACCACACAGGATACTTTTTGTCCCGAAATAGTATGTTCACTCAAAACCAAACTTAATTGTGCATCTCGACCCCTAGACACGCAAATATAAGTTTGTAGAATCAAACGAAAATATAAGTTTGTCGAATATTGGGTTACTCGCAGTGGGCCTTACACTGTAACTTCAAAGCCTTTTTTTAAGGGGAGAAAATCATCGAATGACTGCTCCTGTCTGGATGAGGCGGGAGGGAGTGTCAGACTCTTACTGAGTAAAAACCACCCCGTTCCTACTTCTCCACTTCGAGCCGGAGCCCCGGTAAACCGTTAGGTTCTCCGCGACCACTCCAGGGCCTATTGTCGAAATCAGCTTGAACGGTTATTATAAATGCGACTTGTGAGTTTGTACATATTTTTTTTAATGGACAAGCCCGCCACGTCCTCCCAATGCTGCTGCAACTCCTCGCTGCAAATTAGGTCTCGCACTGTAGTAGGTACATAGCAGCACGTACACCTCAAGATCTACCGGAAGTACGCCCGCGAGCACAGGTAGAGCCTCAGTGCTAACCGTCCTATAAGCCTTACACAGGAAAATCAAAGCTAGACTAGAGAAGTTTTCGCCGTACCGCGCCTATTGTGGCCCTATCAGCCCAGACAGGTGCCCCGTAGCACACGCATCCGAGTTTGTCCATATATTGTTTGTATACATACAGAATCATGTTTGTTACTCAGTCACATCAAAATCATGGACTGGAGTAATGCACAGGCTAAATTTTATCCTCGGAATCGCGGGCGTAGCCGCTTGCAGAAGCTAGTTAATAAGTATTTGTACGCTTTTAGAACAACGTAGTGCCTAAAACATTGAATGACATAAATGATTTTTTTTCAGCCATGATCGTCCCACTGCAAGGCAAAGGCCTACCCTCCTTCCACTCCTCTCTATGTAAAGCTTTTTGCGGCCAATCCTTGTCATACATGTCCAATTCATCCCGCCATCTCCTTACAGGCCTGTCGCGATAAATATAAATGACACCATTTTTGAAATCTATTATTAAGTCATTAATCATTTGTTACGATATATTATTTGATAATTCCTACCAAAATATTATTTGAATAAATTTATAGTACACTAAATGATATAACAATTCCATGAGATAATTCCTGGCTACACATTAACTGGGGTGTTTTTGAAAATATTTTCTGACATTTCAACTTTTTCCCTCGTCTTTGCACCGTATGCTCATTTTCCAGAAGCCGCAAGTAGATCGTAAAAAGCATACAATTTTCAAATGTAATTAAACTTCAGTGTTTTTCATCTTTTGCTGTAAATAATTTAAAACCGTAGTACTTAATAACCTTTAAAATGGCGGTTCATTTATTTTCTTCATTATAATTATATTTTAAATGTTTTTACGTATTCGCTGAAAGGATTGAACAGTTCCTGGATTTTTCTACGTGTAAATTATTCTTGCAAAGTAAGTACCAACAAATTTTCTTTTAATTTCAGTGTTTATTAAACAACAAAGTGTTTAATTATTATGAGTATATTTATCTACTGATAACGATCGTTCGAACTTTGCTAAGACATCATGTTTTATGGGATTAGCCGGTAAACGAGCAGACGGATCACCTGATGGTAAGCAATCGGCCCATGGCCACCCGGATCATCAAAGGTGTTACAAGTGCGTTACTGGCCTTTTAAGGGTTCGGAATTTGGGCAATGTCGGGGATTCAGGGATGGAGGAGATTGGCGATTGAGGATGGTAATTGGGGCTTCTGTAACTTCACAAGACGAAACATAACGCAGGCGTCGTTTTACGTCGATCCGTGGTACCACTACGTTCGACCCGGCCTATTCGTGCCGAAGCATGGCTCTCCCACACTTAAGATTATTATATTATGTGAGTGTAACTCCCCTAAAAACATACTTAGTAATATTAATAGATACCTACATATCATCCTACATAGTATCTGCGGTTGAGTGTAGGTTGAGCAGGCCTCCAACATGATAGTATCAAAAAAGTTAGACAGTAACTAAAACAGTTTCAGATTAGTACGACAGGTGAATTTTAATTAGATATCACTGTTTATAGCAATGAAATTTAATTAAGAAACTTTTTAGATCAGCCTTACTAGTAAACGAAACCAATTACT